CCAGCCCCATGTGCTCTGCCCCAATCACAGAAAGCCGTGGGAGGGGGTTCCCATGCCCTTGTGCCATAAAGCTGCAAATGTTGGAAGTATGAGAAGGAGCATCTCCTGGGGGCTCACTTCTGAAGCATAAGCAATGTCCCCCAAGGTACAATAGTGGAGCCACCATTGGGGGGAGCCCAGAGTCATGGAGATAGGCACGGAAAGATAAGAGTTCCAAGAGTTAGGTTAGGCTTTCAGACACAGGCTTGCTTATTGGTTAGAGTTAGCACAGCCACGCCAGTCTCTTATCACCCACAACTGCTCCATTAGTCAACGCAGATCCCTAAGACGGTTTACATAGTTAAGGTACACTCACAGGACACCATTCCCCGGGATCTGCCTATCGCCACTGGCTAGGGCCGGGTTCCAGGGGTCTGATTAGTTCGGTGGACCTCCTCAGCTTAGCTGGGAGGTCTAGCTAACATATCCAAACCACACTGGCACAGAATGCACTCATGGCCCTGGGCATCGTCTCCCTGGAGGCTCCTAGTAACAGACACCCTCCCCCCCCCCAGGTGCAGAAATCCATGGCAACAGTATAGAACACTTTCCTCCCTAGACCTTCTGTGGGTTTAGGCCTCAGGTGAGTGTGTGGGATAAAGAGTCCCTGGGTTGGAGGGACATGAATAAGGGTAACACGCAAAAGTTTAGAACCTCTCATCTTAGCTCTAGGCTGGGGACTAGGGGACAAAGAGGAGACAGCAGGGAATATATGTACATACTGGGGACATGCTTCCTGGGAGGTGACCTGCTGTCCTAACCTGAAATATGCTCTCATATGACCAGCAGTCCTAATGTCCTGTTGGGTGGACACATGTGTATTCCTCAGAAAGAATTGACAAGCGCTGTCTGGGCTTCACTGACACACAAAGAGAGTCCCATGTGGTTCCCACACCTGGGACACAGGGCAGACCCCATCCTGCCTCCTTCCATCCCAGATCCTGACCAACATCGAGCATGGCCCCTAAGTCTTGCCAGGAGTCTGAAGATGAGCAGGTGTCCCCAGCTCCAGCAGGTGTAAAGCCAGACAGCAGTGACTTAGAGTCTGCAGTCGGTACACCTATGGACACAGTGGCTCCTTCGTGTTCCCGGAGCAGTAAGCCCTACTGCGCATCGACCCCAGTGGGCTGCTCTGTCAAGCAGCAGTAAGGAGGCAGGGGATGGGGCAGCCTCCTGGGTTGGGCCAGCCAAAGAGCCAGGCCTGATCAAACCACAAGGGGCTGGAATTGCAGGTTAGCCCCTGAAACCCTGGACCCACGTACCCTGAGGCTGTTATGGGAACAGAGAGAACTAGAGATCCAGGCACTACGGTGGGCTGTCCAGAATGGCCAGAATGCTCGATACTACCACATCCTGCAGGAGGTGGCAGGGATTCCCCCCGAGCGGTCAGTAGTGAAACCCTCAGCCCAACCCAGGTCCTATCCTGTTGTAGCTCCAAGTTTCTGTGTGACACCAATCTCAAGCACTGAGCCCTATACCTGACTGCTTCAGACGTTAGTCTTGGCATGACTTGACACTCCACCATACTTTTGAATACGTTCCTGTGTGGAAAATGTAACCCTACCCCTGAACATGTAGACCTCTGCCCAGACCTGCTAGGGTTTACTCTGCCCGGGACTGCTATAATGTGTGCCTTCAGGGTTTGGTGGCTGTGGGGTGTCCTTTATTGCTGCCCTACTCTCAGGAATCCTGACCTGCCCCAAAAGCGCTGAGATTGCTCCTCCTACCAGGAACTCCAAAAGTCAAGACAGATTCCTGCAGAACCAGGTCCAGAAGCTGACGCTGGAGCTGAAAACACAGAAAGAACAAGCCCAGCTGGTGAGGGGGTAGGGTCAGGGAACGGGGCGGGGCGATGCCTTGGCAGGCAGTAGCTACCCACCTGAGGTTGGCTGGAAAGGTGGGGTTGCCGCAGGCTTCTCTCACTAGCACTAGCAGGCAGTCTCGATCAGGAGAAAGAACGCTTGGAGGAGAAACTGCGGCAGAACCACCATACAATGCAGCAGATGGAGGCTGAGCTGCAGACCTTCCAGAAATCGTGCCTTCTACAGCTGGCTCGTTCCTCTTGGGTAGGACGTGTGATTCGGTCTCAGACTGGCAGTGTTGAGGTGAGTTTGTGCCCCTCCCTGGCTCAATACCTGTCAGGCAGCCCCCCCCCCAAAAAAAAACCACAACTCCTTGGACAGCCAGCATGCTTCTTTAGGTCTTCTGGCCTGCTTGAGAAACCTTGTCTCCCTTGGGCTGTTTCCATAAGGAGAATTCATATGACCAGCAGCCTCCTCATCAAGTATTGTTAAGGTCAAACGTGAGAGAACCTGTGGGAGAAGGGTGTCCTTCCTCAAGCTCCCTGCCAGCTTCTCTATGGTTCTTTCTTGTAGGTGGTCACTGCAGAGGTCCTAAGAGACCCTACTGACTCTACTGAGTATGTTGAGGGCCCCACTTCTGGGGAGGTAAGCAAGGTTTGCCACAGGAGGTGTTCCATGTATATGATAAGGCCTCTGAAACCCTGAAAGGTTGGGGAGCCGCATAGCTCTTATTTCCTGCCAGGGTTTCCGGTTGGAGGATGTAGATTGGAACAGCATTGCCCGCCGATATCCCAACCTCTTCTCCAGCATGAGTTTCCATACAGATGAAAAGTAACTACATTGGACAGGGAGTTCTCAGGGATCAGGGGAAGGGAGGACTTGGCTTGACAGAGGTGGACCAGTTCCCATTGCATCCTTAAAGTGTTCCCAGACAAGTCATGTAACCCCTTCAAGCCTCAGCTCTGATATGTAGTATGTGGAATGGGTTCAAGACAGGGGGAGGAGCTCCAAGGTCATCATTAACTTTATTAATTTACCACAAGCTGGGTCTGACTCTTGAGTTCCTGGAACACAAACCAGGGTGCCCATTGCTTTGGGGAGGCTGGCTGGGGTGGGGGGTATGGGTCCTGGATTTAGGAGCCAAAGCAGTCAGTAAACATTCATGGTTCCAGGCTGCCCCAGCCCCACCAGTCCTCTGAAATGGATACCTGGGACTCCCAGTGTACCCTCAAGCATGTGGAGAAGCCTAGCAAGATCGTGGAGTGGGGTACCTTGCCTTTGGCAAACACCAGCAGCTCAGAGGGTGCCGGCTCTGACTCCAGCAGCTGCCAGATAGGTCTGCATTCTGGAGCAAAGAAGGTGACAGGCCACCCACCCCAGGGAACAGACTTATCTTCTGAGCAGGAATGCACTAGGAGCTTCAGTGGACACACAGAAGGTGGAATTGGCTGCCTCTCCCTTTCACCCTTTAGCAACTTATCACTTTTGCCCAAAGTCCTCTCAGGTCCTTCAGCCCTCAAGGTCTGGTTGCTTCTGCCCAGATCTGAACTTGACTGTGGTTTCCCTATTATGCAGACCCCTGGTCTGGCCTCCTGGGGAACCTCCCCACTGGACTCTCTGTGTTCTCCCTCCTCTAAAGGACTTCTTTTTCCAGATCTTCATAAAAGCCGTTCACCCTCGCTTAGCAAGACTGTTCTGGAGTCCTGTGCAGACCTTCACCACCAACACACAAGGCCCCAGTTGAAGTGAGGGCTGCCCAGCCATGAGCACACCAGGAAAAGCAGGGAGGGCTGCATGATGGGTTGGCTTCGTGGGTGGATGGGGCCCCTATTCCCTGCTCAGCATCCCTTTCTGGCTTCAGCCCACTTGGTTGCTGCTTGAAGATTGCTGCGGTCAGCCACCGAGAGAAGTTCATCCGTATCCTCAATCAGTCTCAGGCAGAGACTGTCGATCTGGGCGGCTTTGTTGTGCAGCAGCTTGTGAGGGACTACCCTGTGTGCATGTACCGCTTCCCACCTGGTATTCTGCTAGCCCCACAGCACCACATCACGGTGAGCCCTGCTGCTAGTCAATATTGCCTTGCCCCGGCTTACACTGTTCCTTACTTGGCACCCAGCCTTTTCCTAGGTGTGGGGCGAAGGAACCAGCAGGACCAAGAAGCGGCTGCCAGTGTCCTCGGACCAGGAACCCTTCCACTTCCAATCCAGCCTAGGTTGTGTGACAGTGCTAGTCAACCCCCACGGCCAGGTCAGTGCTGATCCCAGACTAGGAGGAGCCCAGGGGCTGGCCTCACAGGGTTAGAGTAAGTAACAGGATGGCCCTGCAGGTCCTCAGTGAGCATCAAGCTCCACCCTGCGTGACCTTGGACTCGAAGATCTTCACCGACAACACTGACTGGTCCATTGACCGCTTCCCTCTCTCAGAGTCTGAGCCCAATGCTGACTCTGGTGAAGAGCAGTGTCGTCCTTCATCCCCACACAAGGGCAGGGTGCGGGACTCTGGGGCCAGGCATAAGAAGCCCAGGTAGGTGCAAACCCCTTATTCTGCCTCGCAAAACCCGCCCCTATTTCTTTAGGCATCGCCTTGGACAGGACTACTACCCTGGCCCATACTATCTTGCAATACACTTGCCCCGAATTGACTCGGCTACTTCTCAGGCCCCTCCCACATCTCCAGGCCAGGTATTCACCAGCAAAGGCACTTCCGCACTGGCACTAGCGGACTGAGGACTTCGGGACCGCTTCGCCCCACCGAGACCCGTGATATCTTGCCACTCCTGGGCACCCGCAAGCTTCTTCACCCTGGGGAAGTTCCCGCACAGCAGGAAGGCATGAAGGCTGAGACAGCGGAGTTCCTGCCTGCAATCCCAGAGTGTTCCTCGAGAGTGTGCCTCGAAGACTCGCTGGGTAGGCAGGAGCGCAAGGTCCAGGTGAGTGTGATGCTTTGGCCCCAGGTTCTCCGCTCTGCCAGTCCGTGCAGCTCTTAGGCCCCAGTGTTTTCTGCAGGTATGCCGGAAAAGCGTGGACCTAAGTTGCCCCATGGTGGCCCTGTCAGTACAGAGCACAGCCGAGAGCAGATATGGGTTCCGCTTCCTCTGCTACCCTCCCATCACTGAGGACTTGTGCCGGCGGGTGTAGAGCAGCCAGGCCATGCAGGCAGTGCCAGTTGCATAATTTATTGAACCAACCGTTGCTTACAAAGTAAAGCACATTTCTGCACACCTGAGAGTCGAAAATGATTCACTTGGCTTTTACAGAGAGTATTTGGTGTCTCAGGAGAAAGGACCTGTCGCACATAGGGAAACCTGCAAATCTACCCAGAATGACTACGCCCTTTTGCAGACTAGGACAAGCAGGCTTAGAACTTGGGCCACATAGGTGACCCAGGGTCCTGGGGCATCTAAAGAGGTCAGTTCCAGCTCCAGCCATTCAGCCTTGGCCCCATCCAGGCCAAGAGATCTCAACAAGGGAGGGTTACATTAAGGGAGAGAGTGGGCTGGAGGGATAGGGTTCAGGTGATGGAGGCAGTGGAGGCCTGGAGGGCAAGCTGCTGGACCTAGTGCTGGCTTTGGGTCTGGGCATCCCTGGACTCGGTGGTCCAGTGCTCTCAGGGCAGTCACTGCGGCCAACCTCTCACCCAGGCCAGACCCCTCACCCAGGCTAGGCCCCAAGCTACCCAGGACTCTAAGCCTACGCCCTCTGAAGGGCAGGTCTGCAGATCTCACCGAGGAGCTGCTGCCTGACTCAGGTGGCATTGGGTACTTTGGGGGAGAAGGGATCAGGTGAAAGCCTGGTGTCCTGGAAAGTTCTAGAAAACAAGGAAGAAAACAGCATGTCAGAGAGGACCTGTCAGACATGGTGGGGGAGTGTTAGCTGCAGCCTGGAGATGATGGCAGGCTAGGGGCAGTGCAACCCCAAGTGGAGAGGGTTTCAGTGTCCTTTTCTGTTTCACTGTGGCGCCTACAGATGGAAGCATCCCTGTCTCTCTAAGCCACATCTCTTTGCTCTGCTTCATCTGCATTCCAGAGAAAATATGGCTTCAGCCCTGTAGCTATCTCTAGAGCAGTGGTTCTTAACCTGGGTCACCATTCCCACAGGGGTTACATATAAGACATCCTGAATATCAGATATTTACATTATGATTCATAACAGTAGCAAAATTACAGTTATGAAGTAGCAACAAAGATAATTTTATGGTTGGGGGGTCACCAGAACATGAGGAACCATTTTAAAGGGTTGCAGCATTAGGAAGGTTGAGAACCACTGCTCTAAGGCAAACAAAGTGGTTGGGCTCTGGCCTCCATTCTTGAGTATGTGTTCATCCCTGAGGGCCTGGTGGCTTCAGGCCAGTTCTTAAGCTTCTGTAATAGTATAAGGTAGATGTCTTGGGTCACCAGTGCCTTCGAGGCCTGACATCTGTCAAGAGGGCTAGACACCATTCCAGTCAACCCTTCTGTTGGTCACCTTTCTACTGCCCTTTAACCTGTGAAATCTTGTCCACTGGGGCAAGCTGTTGCTCCTGCTTTACTCTCAGGGCCCTCTTCCCACCCACTGCCCCAGGTACCAGCCAGTCTACAGAGGGGCAAAAGTGTGGTTGTTTGGTCTTTCAGAGATGGTCGCTGACCACTTTTATACCTTCGATGTCTGTCCATGCCCACAGTGTGCCTTTTTAAGGTACTGCTGGGTAAGGGTCTTTCCAATGAAGCAGTAGTCACTCTGGCTCCCTTGGAAAGGGTTTGCCTGGCTTAATTCTGCACCCCTATGCCAGCACAGGTCAGTCCTGCCTGGGTTGAAGCCACTGAAAGTTTCTAACCCTCTCTGCCTTGCTCTCCTAGTGGTTTTGTTCATCACTTTCCCACCCCTGGATTCCTGTCAGTTTCTCCTGAGAATTGGTGTGTGCTTCTGGATACCCTTGGCGACCAGAGGCTCCCAACAGGTGCTTGCCTCTGGACTTGCCCTGTATTCTTCTTTTGTGGAATGCTTTCCTCTCTCCTTTAGCCCAGGTGCCCTGGAAGTGTCATGGTATGGAGGAGGAGCTGGGATTGACCCTCTATAGGTTGTGAAACCTACCCACCCCACTCCACCGGGAGGAGGAATGTCTGCCCTCTCAGAACCCGGCAAAGGAAGGGGCTGACTATATTATTCTAGTCTGAGGTGGGGACAGCCGTTCCCAGATGGGGGGGTCAGGTTACTCTCAGACACTGAGGCAGTACCTGAGGCCAGGTGTGGAGGGGTTAGGGAAGTCTTGGGTCCAGTCTGGACTTCCTGTTCTTCAGGAGCCTTCTGTGGGTCCTGAGCTGGAACTGGAACAAGCCTTTCCTGTGGGAACTCCACCTGCCTGTGGAGGAGAGGACTGAGGCAGGAGAAGGCAGAGCTGCAACCATGTCTGTCTCAGACCTAGTGCCAAATGGCCATCACACTGGGATGGATCTCTAGCCTTTGGCCCCTTTGGCCACCATGGGAGACCAACTTCCAGCCCAGATCCCTCCCCATCCAAGACAGGGCAAAAGGTGGTAGGGTTGGCAGGGTAAGGGACACCAACCGCAGGCCAGGCTCCCTCCAGGCCCGAAGCCCAGTCATGGCCCGGTCACGGCTTTCTGTAGGGTCAGGCCTTGGGGTAGAGGGGTGGGTGGCCAGATCTGGCCTATGTGGGGGCAGCTGCTCCAGGGGTGCCAATTCCTAGGGAGGGAAAAGGCTGATGTGGGGACCCTGACCCTGGAGTGGGAGGGCCAGAGCATGGACATGCCAGTAGTCCTGAACACTGATGTATGGTGGGGGAAGCTCTGGGTAATGGTCTACCATGGGGTGAGGGCAATAGGTGATGGTCTACTTTGGGAAGGAGGGTTGTAGTCATATGTGGGAAAAGCATACCTGGTACTGGTGTCTACGCTCCCTCAGGCCTTTGGTGGGGTTCCCACAGAGAACTTGACAAGCACCTAAAGAAGAGGATGTGGCTATGCCTGGTTTGGGGTCAAGGTACTTGCCAGGTCAGCTCTGGGCCAAATAGGTTTAGTTACCATGGGTGAGGCTGCTGGAATGGTCTTCTGTGGCTGGATTCTTAGAAAGCAGACCTTCAGGCAAGGGGCCCTCAGGGACCAGCAAAGACAGAGCCCATGGTTGGGTCTCAGGCACAGGCAAGATTGGGTCAAGTTTCCGTATAGTGGTTCCATGGGAACAATCTGTCCAGGGTCAGATCCAGAGATCACTGGGCTCATTATAGACAGCACATTTCAAACTCAGACCACAGAACACAGCCCTGTCACTCAAGAAGCTGTGTGACCTAGGAACTGGCCTGTGAGGATTCCTTTTCCTTCCTGAAAGACCCTCAGGCTTATACCCTCCTCTTCTTCCACATAGGAAAGGGGAAGCCAGCTGGTGCTGTAATGGGAGTATCCTGACCTGGGGTCAATCTGTGTGGTTCTGCAGACTAGGAGCTAAGGTTGGGAAAGGGAACAAAATGCAGTCACCCATTTCTGCAAGGCCTGGGGAACTAGTGAAGGTCTTTTGCTCTGGGGTTGAGAGAAGCCTGTCCTCTTAGGGTACTGGTAGAGGTCTGTCTTCCTAGAGGGCAAGAGGTGGTCTCCTCTGGAGTCAGAGACTAGGGCATAGTATCGAGGTCCATAGTAAGTGTTTGGCATACCCAGCCGAGGGAGGAGAATGTCAAGCACGCTGCCTTCCTTGATGGCCTCCTTCACCATCAGCCAGTCCTGATTCAGCTTCTGGGAAGCAGGCAGGTTGGTGCATGTGGTGGGTATCTCATCTAGGATGTGGAGCTGGGGGATAAGCTTCTTTACCTCTGCCCTATAATTGTAGTCCTGGAGTGCCTAAAGGGTAGAGGGAGGGGGACAGCAGACCTGGGTCTGGTGGGCCCTGCAGGCCAGCTGTTGCTGGGGCTCCCTCTTCCAGACTGCTATGGTGCAGGACAGAGGAGACAGAGTAGTGATACTGCCTCATCCTACTGGAGCCTATGAGTACCTTCACCCTTCAATCCCATAGTCAGGGTTCAGGAATGCCCTCTAATATGTGGAACTGATTATGGGTCAATATCAAGCAGCAGCTATTGAGGTGGATAGTGCACTTGGAGCATGCGTGGCCTTTGTGGAGGTGCAAGTAGATTTACCTGCTGCAACAGAGCTCACATATGTCTGATATACCAAACAGTTAGGCTGTTTAGGCTTCCAGTGACAGAAGGGATAGCTCTTAAGGAGAACAAGCTAAAAGGTGCATGTGGGCCCAGAGGTTCCCATTCTGGGTAGGGGTATCCATCCCAAATATATGCTGACTGGGTGTTCAGCACCCATACCTTGTTGGAAGGGCCAGGGTCTGGCTTCAAGCACACCAGATTCCCCTCCAGTGTTAGCGTGGCCAACCGTGGGCACAGCTGCAGGTACCGCATCTGCCCCAGGTCTTCCACATTGTTGCCCTCAAGGTCCAGCACCTCCAGTTGCTCGAGCAGGCACAGTGGGCTCAGGTCTGAGATGTTGTTGTAGGAGACATAAAGTTCCTGAGGACCACATGGGGTAATCTTAGCTGGGGTCTGACTTGATCTCTGTTCCTTGTCCCCAAGTGTTAAAGACTTACCTTCAGTGCCAAGAAGGAGCCAATGCCATCCAAGTCAGTCAGGCCACAGCGAGCCAGCCACAGCACCTGCAGGTGGCCCAAAGAAGTGCCCAGGTCTCTGCAGAAGGCAGGCAGAGTGGTGTGATGGTTAATCTTCAGGGTCAACTTGACTGGATTTAGAATCACTTAGGAGAAACATTTGGAGCATGTGTCTGTGAAGGCATTTCCAGAAAGGTTTAACTGAGGAGGAAAGATCCACCCTGAATGTGGGTGGCATCTCCTCATGGGCAGGGATCCTGAAGAAAAAAATAGAGAAAAGGAGAAAGCCAGCTGATTTCTGGCACTCCCTTTTCTCTGTTTTGTAATCTGTTTAGATGTGAGCAAGCTTCCACGTCCACAGATATGAGCTGCTCCTGCTGTCATGTCTTCCCTGGCATGATGCTGTAACCCATAAACCACAAGCCAAAGAAACCTCTCTCCCATTAAGTTGTTTCTTGCCAGGTATTTAGTCATAGAAGCAGCAATAAGTAACTACTATGAGTGATTGGTGCTATCATGGGGTTGAGGGTTCTGTCTGTAGCCAATAAAAGCCAATGCCAAACTACCACTCACTTAGGCTGCCTTCAGGTGCGGGGACAGTTGTGCCTTTGCTTGTGATAGCTTCCAGCTGATGTGCTCCAGAGATTCCTATTCTTCTCCCTGCTCTAGCATCCCAGACAAGGTTAAAGTGTGTCCCTGGAGAGCCCATGTTTGTGGACAAAGAGGTCCCTGGCATGTGGAGGCCCCTTCTCAAACACTTGTTCAGCACCCACACTTTGTTGGAAGGACGAGGGGCCAGCCTGAGGCATACCAGATTGACCATGAGGAGCTACCTTCAACCTGATGCCTTGATGCAGCCCTATGGGCTACTTGTACCTGCTACTTGTTGCTGTCCAGCCCTGTCTGGCTTACTGTACCCATGGGGCCTCTTTTCCCTGCAGTGTACACAGATAGTGTGTTTGAGGACCTGTCCTTGCTCTCGCCTGCTATGATGCTCTTCTTGTATCACTGAACTGCTCTTTGCCTCATAGTACAATTGCCACCTGACCTCAGGCTTCATCAACTGCCGCTATTTTTCCATGGCCCTAAGTCTTTTTGGTAAGGACTCATCTACCATGTTGCCTGCCTGGGGCTTGCTTACTGCTGTTGCTCTAGGCTATATATTTTCTTTAGTCTTTGTCCTTTAGTTGCAAAGATTCATTCAGCATTTACCCTATCAGTTGCCTTAAATCACCATGTTTTCTTTTTAAAATTAGTGTGTCTGTGTCTGTGTAAATATATAGCACATTTGTGCAGGTGCTTGTGGAGGCCAGAAGACGATATCAGATCCCTTGGGATTAGAGTAACAGATGGTGACAAGTCACCTGACATGGGTATTGGGAACTGAATCTAGGTCCTGTGAAGAGCAGGTCATCTCTCCAGCCTTCCAACCGGCCTGAGTGTTTGAGATGTTCTAACACTGTAGTCTAGGCTGACCTGGAACTTGAGGCAGTTTTCCTGTTTCAGCCTCTCAATACAGGTGTGTACCATCACACTAGCAATCTCTCTCTCTCTCTGTCTCTCTGTCTCTGTCTCTGTCTCTGTCTCTCTCTCTCTCTCTCTCTCTCTCTCTCTGTGTGTGTGTGTGTGTGTGTGTGTGTGTGTATGTGTACTCATGTATATGACACCATGGCATTTATGTGAAGATTACAGGATAACTTGTTAGAACTGGTTCTGTCCTTCCTTTGTGAGATAGATGATAGATGGACAGACAGACAGACAGATAGATTGAAATTATAATGCATCTGAAAAGACAATCAAGTTGACCATAGCAGCAATGTAAGATGATAAAAAACCAGTATGAAAGAAGCATACATCAACAGTTTTAAGTCTTGACAAGGTTGGCACTTACAGAACAGAAAACTTGACTCAAGGACTGGGAGGTAGCAAAGTGAGTAAAGTGCTTGATCTTCAAGAGTGAGGAACTGAGTCTGAATCCCCTGCAATCACTTAAGCTAGGTAGGTATAGCAGCCTGAATCCATAATCTAAGCACTAGGAGGAAGCAGGCAGGGGTTCACTGGCCAGCTTACCTAGTTGAAACAGCAAGTGCTGGGTTTAATAACAGACCCATTCTCAAAAAATAATGTGGATAATGATATATGAAGACATCCAGTGTTGACTCTGGCCTCCACATGTGTGTACATGGGCAAGAGCACCACCTGCATATGTATGTGCACATACACAGACACTCCATCCCTACCATACTACCATCATCACCACCACCAACGACAACAACAAAAACCTTATTTGGAAGTAGGACTCTCTTAGTTTGAGCCAAGTTTTAAAGTATGTTATAAAACTGGTGGCAGTGGTGGCATAAGCCTTTAATCGCAGCACTTGTGAGGCAGAGGCAAGAGGATCACCATGAGTCTAAGTATAACCTAGGTTACACAGAATTCTAGGCTAGCCTGAAGTAGCACATGCTTATGATCCCAACATCTGGGAGGTTTAGGCAGGTGCAGGAGGATCAAAATTGGAGGACAGAGCTCGAGAGAACACCCAGAGGTTAAGAGCACTTGCTATTCTTTCAGAGGACCTGGGTTCCAGCTTCTGCCAACTAAAAGTTTTGCTCTGTGTTCCTTCCCTCCCTCTCTCCCATCCTTCCTTTCATTTTTTTTGAGATAGGATGCTATTCTGCAGACCAGGCTGGGCCAGAATTCACTCTGGAGTCTAGTCTGACCACAAACTCATGGCAATATACCTTCCTCAGCTTCCTAAGTGCTGTGATTACAGCTGCGAACCACCTCACCTGGCAGTATAGTATTTCTTCATATTTTCAATAATTACCCAGAAAGAAAAAAGCAATGAAGAACCAAATCAAGATGGCATTTACAACCATAGTCACTGTGCAGGATATAAGAGTCTAGTATCACCTGGTCCTGGGGCGGGGGATTGATGGGGAGCTTGTTGGTCCACCATAACTATAATTCCCATCTCCTAGATAATAGCTGGGGAAGAAGAGACTGTGACAGATACAGTTCTTACCAGCGGTGTGGAAAAGGGTTCTGGGGATATCACCTATACTTTTTTGGGGGAAAAGCCCCTGCTGTAGATGAAGGTGCCTCCCAGGTCACATTTGAAGCCTTGGCCTCTGGAACCTCAGAGCATGGCTGTGTTTGGAAACAAGGCCCCTGTGGCTCTAGTTAGTTGGGATGAGGTCATGTTGGAGCAGAGTAGACCCTATAAGTGAAATGGGGGGAAATGGACATACTAGAGGGGTACCGTGGGAAGATGAAGGTGGAGGTTGATGATAGCTCTACAAGACAAGAATCATCAGTACATGCAGACGGTGGTCAAACTGGGCAGAATTCCCTTCATAGCCTGGGAAGGAACATCCTGCCCTACCTGCATCCAGCCCAACCTAGGCAAATGTACTGCTGAAGCCCATTTGTGTTCCTTTGTTTATGTTCCTACAAAGTGGCCCCAGGATAATGGTTATACTCTCCTAGTCATCTCTACTGAAGGCTGAGTAACTGTCCCATGATAGCACAGGCAAAGTGACAAAGGGTCATATTTCACCTATATGATCCCGGACCTTTGCTGTGAGTCTGACTACTGAGCTAACTAACCCACCCCAGGACTTCTTGTCAGCACAGCAAGCTGGAGATGGTGATGTCTTCTCACTGGTGTGTCCCTGGGTTTGCTCTAGAGTAGTATGGAATAATTTCTCTAGTTTAGGCCGATATGGAATAAGCTGATGTAGTCTTTTGTGAGCATGCTAACTGGAACACTACAGAGAGAAAACTTGAAAACTCCATTTAAATACACAAAACATACTAATGGAAAGAGGCCATATGCATGGACGTATTTAACTTAACAAGTATGCCCAAACTAGTACATAAATCTTTCTAAATTCCAGGTTTAAACCCACAAAAGATTAGCATGCGTGAGTGTCCGAAGTCCACTGGCATGACCAGGTTATAAGACTGAAGCACAAGGATAAAGAAGTGTTCAGGATAGTCAGGGTCAGCCTGGAGTAAGGGCAGCAGAGAGCTAGCTCAGACTCAAGTTATACAGGTAAGATGGCACTGAGGTAAGAGGTCAGCTAATGATTCAGAGTTCCTAAACAAAGGGCTCTGCACAGGTGGCCATCTCTAGGCTGAAAGGACATACTGCAAAGTTGAAAATGCACCAGATAATTCCTGCTAATCAACAAGAAAAGAGAATACATCCTTAAATTAGTACATGGTACAGGATCGAAATCCAGCATCTCTAGCAAGGACAGAATGATGAGCAATGGAGTGTACGAAACGGATGCATCCAAATAATTTTTAACAGTACTCAGTTATCTGTGGAGTATCAGAACATGTAAGTGGGGATTCACACACAGTGGCACTGAGTAAAAGATGCTCGTCCAGCCCTGCTAGCATGAAGCCATTCATTTGGTGGCAGCTCCAGCCCATGTATTTAGAACATTTGTGTGCATGCTGGTGGCTATTTTCAGGGGCTAAATTATCTCAGCTTTGGGTGAAATGACAAACTACATTGAAATTATTTCCCACCTCTTACAGCACTGCCTGCGATTTTAGTATTTAATGCTCATCTTTGTAGCCACCTATGTTACAAGAGCAGTTTATGGGATGCTGTTATTCAGTTTCCTGTTACAAATGTTTGTTCATTTTTAATCATGGCGGGGGGATAAACACCAACTAGTCTAGCTGCAGGATTAGATAACTGAAAGAACTCAAAATTTCGCTGTTTTTCATTGCTGTGATCAAACTGCTGAGGGTCTTTTCAAAACATTTGTGATCTGACTGTATTTCCTGTAGAATTATTTTGTTTTAAGTACTATTTTATGTTCCTTTTTTTTCTTTTTGTACTTCAAGACAGGATTTCTCTATGTAGCTTTGGAGCTTGTCCTGGAACTCACTCTGTAGACCAGACTGGAACTCAGAGAGATCTGCTTGTCTCTGCCTCCCTAGTGCTGGGGCTAAAAGGCATGCATCACCAACTCTGGGATTATTTTTTGTTTCTTAAGGTTTTCGTTGTTTTGAGACAGGCTCTCATGTATTCCAGATTGGCCTTGAACTCACTATCTATGGAGCTGAGGATGACTTAGTGTGAGGTCACAGGCCTGTACCACTATACCCAGTCTCATGATTTCTTAGTTTTATAGTATCTTTGCTTCTTGGTCATATTTTCCATCATTTATTTGTTTGTTTATTGTTTGTTTGCAAGGTCTCACTGTGTAGCCCTGGCTGGCTTGGAATTCACTTTGTAGACCATGCTGGCCTTGAATTTACATAAATCAAACTACCTTAGCTTCCTGAGTGCTGGATTAAAGATATGTACCACCATTCCCAGCATCCTTTATTTTATTTTAGCTGCCTTTTAAAAATATACCTTTATTGTTCTTTGAGAAAATGTGTTTACCCAGACCTAGAAAACTTCTCTGTTAATCTGGGGGAAAAGCCATCTGCTAGAACATCACATGACTCCAGGTGCACAGCTGGGAAGTTATGTCCCATGTCATCCCTAGAAAGGGCTGTTGGGCTTCAGGACCAGGTGACTCCTTGACATCTGTTCCTCCATGGCTGCTGCTGAAGCATCAGCTCTCTTGTCTTTGCCTGCATTTGTGCATGCATCTTCATTACTTTGCTGAATTCTGTTTAGTGCTTTATTTGTTAACCAGCAATGTAAGGAAATCAACTGGGAACATCTGGATGCTACACTTGGAGTCCAATTCAGATAGTTACAAACTTAAGAGAAAGAGAGAAGGAGACAGAGTGTGTGTGTGTGTGTGTGTGTGTGTGTGTGTGTGTTACTGTGAATTGAATCCAGGCCTTTGCTCTACTAACTGAACTACATCCCTAGCTTCTTTCTAAAATTTTAACTATAATTTCTCTGCCTTACACTTCTAGGTTTGAGGCAGCAGCACCTTTGTTCAAACTACCAGATACAGTCTGCTATTCTCTTACCTTTGTTATTTTTTTTAATTTTTAAAATTTATTACGTATACAATATTCTGTCTGCGTTTATGCCTGCAGGCCAGAGGAGGGCACCAGACCTCATTACTTATGGTTGTGAGCCACCATGTGGTTGCTGGGAATTGAACTCAGGACCTTTGGAAGAGCAGGCAATGCTCTTAACCATTGAACCATCTCTCCAGCCCCTACCTTTGTTCTTTCTAGTCCAGTGGGACAGAACCACAAGGTGGCCTTGCATTTTGAATGCCATCTTTTAAGCTAGTTCCTAAGATCTCTGAGAACACCAAGCTTTCTTGACACTTCAATCCCTGATCAGGGGATCCATGTTCTGTTGGGTCTGGTTTCTAGTGGAGGGTCAGCTTGGAGGCAGCTCCTACCTTCTCTTCTTCCTAGGGGCACTAGCCACTGCCTTCGGCTCCTGGCCCTCAGGGTGTAGTTGATGCCTGGGTTGCAATGTGAGGTAAGGGAGCTCCGGAGCCTTCAAGTATAGACTGGTTTGGGCTATCTGCCAGAAACACCCCCCTTTGCTGAAGGTTGAAGAATACACTTGGCTTATCAGCCACAGCACCTGGTTATGACCACCTTGACCAGAACCCTGGCTTTGGCTTTTTTGTATCATTCTCATATAGTAGGTGCTTCCCCCTGAGGAAGAGAAGAGGGACATGCCTCACTGCAGGGTGTCAAAATAGGAGGCAGAGACTCTAAGATACTTTGAAGGCGGGACACCTGGGACCCACCCAGAAAGGATCCTACCCTGGAGTCTCCCCTCCTTCCCTTCCACGGAGCCCACACCTGAAGAAATGTCTCTAAAACCATTTGATGGCAGCCTTCACCCTCCAAGGGTCGACAGGGTGGAGCAGAATCTTGACAGTAGGGTCAGCCTGCAGCAGCTGAGTTCCAGGCCCAGCCCCTGCTTGCCCTAGACCAGGCTCTCACCTGAGGGAGCCCAGGCAGCTGTGGTTCAGCTTCAGTTGGATCAGGTTAGGGAGGTGCACTCCTGTGGACCACAGGAAGGAGAAGTTGGTCTAGCTCCAACAATCCTGCCCACCTCTTTGCAATGCTCCCCACACCCCCAAGAGGGATTGTTCACAGGCACATGGCCTTTTCTGCCTCATAGTGGGACCGATTCTGTGGGGCTGCTGCAGGAACTGGCCTAGATGTTCTGGGCCTTCTCTCCCCTCGCCATGTAGGGGTTGCATGGCCTTCCACCCATGTGCAGCCTAGCACAGGTAAAATAGGTGTAGAAAGGTGAACACACTGGTGAGGACCTGACTCAAAGAAGAGGAGCCAAGTTGGCATGGATAAGGTGAACCCTGAGCACATCCCCTCATTGATCCCAGGGCCTGAAGTACCCCTTTGGAGGTCTTTCAACATGCAACACTAGGTAACAAGTCTCAGGAATGCCCTGCCAGTGTCCTGCACAGCCTAAAGCTCCAGGCCCCCATTCTCAAAGCTTCTTAGGGTGAGACTCTGGCTCTAGTCACAGAATCCCTGAATGAGGTGTATACGATGTCCTAGAAGGCCCCAACAAAGAGCTGGTGCCCCCTGATCTCACAGGTGCACAGAGATACTGCACTGAGCTGTCAAACACTTAAAATGCAAAATTGAAAAACAAGCTAACTGGGATTGGAGGTGCTTAACTTTACTGGTAATCAGAGAAAAGCAAAGAAAATGCACAGCTATCCTGCACAGCAAGAATCTTTCCTGTTGGGATGGTTGGTGAAATTTGAACAAGGTCTGTGACAGATAAGAGTGCTCTATCAGTGTTCTTTTCTGACTTGGATCATTACACTGATAGTATTTAAGATAATGTTCTCCCTAGGAAGTAGTAGGCACTGAAGCATTAGTTAACAAGAAGAATGGTTGCTCAGATTAAAAAAACAAGTGTCTCGGAGGTAATGCGTGTGTGTGTGTGTGTGTGTGCGTTCATGCATGCGTGTGCACAAACATGAAAGAGAGAGAATGATAAGATTTCTGCTGTGGCAATTGCAGAGGGGATTCTGGAGGAATAAGGGATCAATATAATGTTTGTGCAATGTGCCTATAAATTCCAAATCCATTCCAGATAAGTTCTGGGAGCACCTTGCATGGGACCATAGTACCTTTGCTATTTTTCCATATTGGATTGGTGTCTGGGTGTGGTCCTTGAAAAGTCCTTTCGAAATATATACCCTGGGCTAAAACTTCTAAGTTGAGTATATACCTTATTTCTACAGTCCATTCTTAAGGAAAGGGACATGCTATCCAAGGTGTTTGTTAGCTTTTCATTTACAACCTGAAAATACAATTGGCTCATGGGAAAGTCTAGTTTTGACAGTCACAGGGGCATGGGTGTGACTGGCGGCTCTCACCGAAGTTCCCCAGGCTGTTCTTACGGGTGTCCACACACATCTCCAGCACCCTCACCAGTTGGAGGTCATCTACCTGGGCCAGGGCCTGCTGCAGAAATCATCAGGTGTCACTTCCAGTTTTCTCCATGCTTTTGGCTGATGACTCTGTAAAGGTGCCTACTGGAGCAGGTGGCAAATGTTCCCCTGCCTCATCCAGGTTGGGCTTGCAATAACAGTTTGGCTGGTGGGCATGACATGAGCAGAGGTTGTAATTGACTATCAGGGAAGGGCCTGCCCTTGAGGTGCCAGTCTCCAGGTGAGACCTTCATACAGATTCATCAATGCAGTTGGAGCCCAGAACCCTGGTGAGCAGCACCCAGCCACAGCATACCTGGACCAGAGGACACACAAAAACACTCAAGCTGGAAGTCAAGGGGCGGGGCCCTACTGGTCTATCTGTTCTTGTAGATGGGCAAGACCTTTTTGTATGTGAAATGTAAGCATGATCTCTCGGGATCCTGGGCCATACCTGCTATGGCATCAAGGGACACCTTGGGGAACACATGCAGGCTCTGGCCTAGCAGGCTAAACAGTTATTCTGAAGAGGTCCCTGGTGATACCAACTACCATGATTCTCTCCTTCATAGTGGTCATCCACAAGTGGGTAGCAAACTCTAAATCCTGGGAGCTTCAGGGTTGCCCAGATGGACTCTACAAAACCTCAGGACTCAGGGATGTGGTACACTAATAAACTCTCACACTGGATGTGGAGAAAAGCCTTTACCTGATGCCAATATAGCCAACATACCAATGACAGATCCTACCTCAGGCAGGTTGAGAGGAGACTGAGGAACTCTAGCCTTGGGAGGGGAGTCATGCACCATGACCAGTCGCCCTTTCAGCATCCCAATATGCCACTTCCTAGTTTTCCCTGTTGCAACATTAGCTCTTGAATAAGAGGCTTCTTGTCTGCTTAAGCACAGGCCTCAGCCAATAGTTACGGAATCCTGGCCCAACAGTGCCATCTGTGATCTCAATGCCTGGGGATGCTTGTGTCACTTGGGCTGCTGGCAGGGACCCTACTGGTGGAAAGGTAGAGATACCTAGCAGAGGGAAAGCTGGATATCAGCAGAAAGGGTGCCAGGATGCCATCTCATGCAGACCCATGGCGGAGCCTCAGGCCCCAATCACTTACCAGCCGAGCAGGGGAAAGGTGCTCCTCCACCCGCCGCTCCCTGTGGATATCCCCATGGCTGCCCAGCCTCTTGTTTTGTGGGCAGGGGTTGTTTAGGCCCTGCCAGCTCAGCTCCCGTACCCGGATACTAGCTGTGCCTGGCCGAGGTCCTTGGGATCCATCCCAGGCTGGGTCCATCCACATCCAACCTGTTAGGAGAGGCAGAGAGCCAAATCTCCTAGTTTACAAGGCTCTAGTTCACATCAATAGCCCACAAAGCCATTGGGTCAACTCTCACATTGCCCCACAACCCAGCCTGATGTGGCCTGGCTGTGACACTTTAGCAGTCTAGATAACTGGACAGCACATGTCTGCTCCCCTACTTTCAGCTCAAACTTCCTGCTTGTGCTAATAGCTTCTCTCCCTTACTGGCATGTGGCTTACCAAATAGGCTAAGCTGGCTTGCCAGCAAATTCCAGGCACCTACCTGTCTTTGTCTCCCCAGTGCTGGATTACAAGATCACTTTACCATGCCTGGTGTTTTATATGTGAATTCTAAGGATCAAACTCAAGTCTTCATGCTTACAAAGCAAGCAATTTACTGTCTGAATGATCTCTCTATTCCTTTCTTTGGTTCTGTATTTGTTTCCCACAGTGTCCATGCAAGGAGTTTTGGTTCCAGTCTTTGCCATCTTGGGCTTCACAAAGGCTGTGAGTTGGGGCTGGAAAGATAGCTCAGTGGTAAAGAGCATTTGACTGATCGTACAGAGGACCACACGTCTGATTCCTAGCATCCATAGTGGGTGGTTCACAAATGTCTGTAACCAAGGGATCAGATGCCCTCTTCTGGCCTCTGTGGTACACACAACACACACACACACACACACACACACACACACACACACACATATACACGGTAAAGAATATTGTTTTAAGGTTTGTAAGACTAGGGATACTGGGCAAGATGCCTATGTGGACCAGCAGCCAGCTGTTACTGACAGTTCCCTGGGCTGCCCCAGATCTGGCCTGTGGATCCTTCTTCATTAATGATCTCTTGAGTCAAGGTCAGGACCAAGATAGCAGACATTCCCTCCAACCACCCACTTCTCTGGCTGAGGCCCTACCTGCAGGTTCCTGGCTCCTGTTGTAGGTCAAACATCCGGGCAAGAGGGCCACATGTGTCTACATGTAATACCTGCAAGAGAGAGTTAGATTAGCTTCCTGGCTATGTCACTGTGCTCTGTAGCACCTGGTTAAGCTGGCCAAGGTCAGCTCAGAGGCAAACAGGTAGAAGAATGGAGTGCTGTTAGTGGGGGGCCTGGTCCTGAACTCCCTGTGACCAATTTAGTGGTGGATGAGGTTCAGTCAGGGTCCCTCTGGGTCACCCAGTGCAAACTAAGACGGTCCTCACCCAAATCCTGCTGCTTACACTCCTAAAGGGGATGCTGGGTGTGTGGTTCAGAATCTTCTGTAGGCCCACCTCACCTGAACTCCTTCCCATATCTATGGCGTTTTTTCAGGTGCCTCTCTACACCTCCATCCAGGTTTGATCGACCCCAAACTTCTTCACTTTTTACTGTCTTTACTTAGAAGTAAGAGTTGTCTCCTTCCACTGCACGTCATGACTTATTGCTTACTCAGTCCAGTGTGTCTGCCCCACAAGATGTAGGCCCTACTCTTCGGCCCAGGTTTCCCCTAGCACAAAGGACATGGAGAAGCGGTACCTAGCTCTCACCTGAGGGGTGGGCCAGGGTGCCCAAGTCCTGGGCGCATCCCTGGGCCCCTCCACCGCGGCGGTCGCTCTCTTAAGTGAGGGCTTTCTTTTTTCCACCGCGGAGGGGTTGCGGCCCTGGCGCCATGGCAACGGGGGCGGGGTCTCATTTGAATATCTAAATATTCGTAAGCCGCGGGCATCCGGGGACGCGGCAAGATGAGCCCCGCCCCCTAGCAACGGTTGCCGGGACACGCGGCAGATCCGGTGGGAGGGCTCCCCAGAGTAAGGAAGGCAAGCCGGACCGCTGAACGCTGAGAAGACACGCACAGTGGTCCCGAGAGCAGCCCGTGAGGGGCTCTGGCGGGCTCCGAGCGGATTATCTGCCTGTTGGCCGCACCCGAACTCGCGCTCCAGACGACACGTGAACGCGCGCCCCCAGGCCTGCATTGCCTGAGTAAAGCCCTGTCGGTTTTCTGAGAAGGACGTGCTTATTCGTTTCTTTGAAATTGCGGAGTGTTGGAAACATTGTTTGCGTCTGACACAAATGTACCCTACTTACTTGAGTAGGTGGAACACTTCATTTCGCCCTAATACCAACTTTTCTGACTTTCAGGGTCTGTCTTCAAATGGGAGCAGTATGAGCTGCTGCAGGGTTGGGACCTCGAGTTCTTTTGTTTTTGTTTTTGTTTGTTTGTTTGTTTTGGGGGGGGTCTTTTCCAATGCACAAGGAGTGCAGTGTAATGGCCGACGCTGCCCCGGGATGGGGCCTTCGCTCCACCTCAGTCTACGGGAACAGGCAGCTCGGGTTCCGGCGGACTCTGCCTTCCTCTGGTATCCGGCGTCCGCGGTGCTGACTGTACCCGACACTAGGTGACCATCGGAATGACCTTTTCGCTCCCTGGGCCTTTGGGCCTCTGGTGAGGGTGCAGGGTGGGAGCTCTGTGACAGGCCCTGCGACCCAACCCGAGCGTACGCCAGTTTCTCTCCGGAGGAATCTCGGGTTCTTAAGCACCGGCTCCCTCACTCTCTTCCGCACCTCGGAACAAGGCGTCGCTCCTTGAGTGCAGTACTCAGGTTTCCACACTGCCTCTCCAGGAAGCCCCGCCTAGCTGCGGCTCTTGACGGACGGGTTGCTGAGCCAACCACGACAGGTCGCGGTAAGGCGGAGGCTCGACCAATCACCGATCGTCTAGAGTTGACGGACGGGCGCGGGGCGGAGCGGGGCGGGGCGAGCGCGGGCCCGGCCGGGGAG